ATAGCGAACAGTAATAATCAGTAGTAATAAGTAATATATAATAGATGTAATAGTAATTAGTAGTAAAAAGTAATAGTATAATAAAGTAAAGTAGTAATATAGTATAATAGAATAGTAATAGTAGTAATAGTAATAGAAAGTAATAAGTAGTAATAGTAATAGTAGTAATTAGTAATATAAGTAATAGTAGTAATAAGTAAAAGTAGTAATCTATAGTAATATTACCTAATAGTCAAATATTAGTACAATAGTAATAGAGTTAATAAGTAATAGTGAGACGAACGAAAAACGCCACATACTAACCGTAATACGACCACGGCTTTGCGGGAGTAGATTCATGGAGATTTGACAATGCTACCACGTCTACCCACTACCCACTCCTACCAACCCGCTACTACCACGACCCCTACTAGCCACTACCCCTACTACCAGCGTACTACCACACTACCTACCACTACCACTACTACCACTACCACAACTACCACTACTAACCCATTCCACTACACCGACTACCACTACTACCACTACCACTACCCCTACTACAACTACTACCACTACTACCACCTACCACTACACCACGACCACTACCACAAGCCACCACTACCACCACTACCACTCCCACTCACCAACTAAGAACCACTACCTACCACTAACCCCGCACCCCCCTCTACTTATCCACTGACCATAACCTACCCCTACGCACAACCACCAACTAGCCACATACTACCACTACCACTACTACCACTACCACTACTACTACCTCTAAACCATCTACCACTACTTCGACAACCCACTACCACTACGACCACACCACTTACTACCACTACCCCGACTACCCACTCGACCACAGACCACCACTCACAACGTAACTGACCACTACCAACGACTACCACTACTGACCTTACCCCTACACCACTACCCCTACACCACTACGACCACTACAACTAGCTACCACTTAGCCACTACTAACCACTACTACCACACCACTACTATCCACTACACTAACACCACTGACGACCACTACCCTACTACCACTACTCACTAGCTACCCACTACCACTACACCTACGACCACTACCACTACTACCCACTACCACCCCTACTACCACAGACCACTCCTACCCACCTACCACTACCTACCACTACCACTCCCTACACTATCCCCCCAGCCACTACCATCTACCACTACCACTACTACAATGGCTGACTCCAACTACCACTACTCCCACTACCCACTACTACCACTACCACTACCATCTACTACCACTACCCCTACTACCACGTACCACTACTACCACTACCATCTACTACCAGCTACCATCTAATACCACTACCACGACTACTACCACTACTACTGACTACCACTACTCTACCACTACAACTACTACCACTACTACACACTGACTACTACCCCTACTACTAGCAACTACTACTACCACTACTCTACTACCACTACTACTACCTACCAGCTACCACTACTACTACTACCACTACTACTACTACCACTACTACTACCACTAGCGACTACTACCACTACTACTACCACTACTAACTACCCACCACTACTACTACCACCACTACGTACTACCACCAACTAGTCTACGACCACTACTACTAGCTACCCACTACTACTACCCTTTTGGTGTCTGAGGGTTGGGTGGGTGTGTGGTGGGGGGGTGGAGGGGGGGGGGGGGGTGGGGGGGGGGGTTGGCGCGACTCCGACGTGCGGCGGTTTGTACAATACCACAGTGCACCACTACTACTACCACGTAACTACGACATAACACTACACTACTACCACTACTACTACTACCCGACGACCCTACCACACTACTACGATCCACTAACTTACACTACCACTAACCACTACCAACTACATACGACGACGACCTTGTGTCCCCCCTACCACCCCACATTACGCTCCCCAACCCACGACCCATCGACCCCTTCACACCCCTCAAAACCCAAAAATGGACCCCCCCCAAAATGTCCCCCATCATTACCTCGGCCCAAAACAGAACCACCCAAAACAAAGAAAAACCCGCTCGCCAAAAGCCATTGAGGTAACCAGTATGTTAATAAGCAACAAATTAAACTAAAGCAACAAATGTATCGCAAAATTTTCAAAAACTTCCTAATACGCAAAATCCTCCTGAAACCGCCCCTGCCAATCACAAATCCTCCTTTATACTCACAAAGCACAAAGGGGAAAACCACTGAAACAACCTCTTACCACATATTGTCCAAACTATTTTCATGTTACCCAATAATACTTTTTAATCCTTTTACTCTGTACGAGTTAATTGCTCTACCATATTGTATTACTTAGGGTTGTTGAGGTGGTTTCGGACATGTAGAGAGAATGGAGCGAAACAGAATGACTTCAAGAGTGTACAGTCTGTAGTGGAAGGAAGGGGGGTAGGGGGCGGCCTAGGAAAGGTTGGAGGAGGGGGTTTAAAAGGGGGTTTTGTGTGCGAGGGGCTTGGGCTTCCAGCAGGCATGCGTGGCGTGTTTGATAGGAGTGAAAAGGAGACAAAAGGGTTTTTTAAAACTTGACGGCTTTGGAGTGTGAGCAAAGTAACATTTATGAAGGATTCAGGAAACGGCAGGCCGGACTTGAGTCCTGGAGATGGAAGTACAGTGCCTGCACTCTGAAGGAGGTGTGTTAATGTTGCAGTTTAAAAAATGTATTGTAAAGCACCCTTCTGCAGACAGTGATGGAGTGAATGATGGAGAAAGGTTTTTCTTTTTCAGGGCCACCCGCCTTGGTGGGAATCGCCAGTGTGATATAAAAAAAATAAAAAAAATTACTGATATTTAGACACATGTTCAACACTTTGGGTATCTTTATTAGAAACGTTACCGCCACACAGTGGCTTCATCAGTCCATACAAAGGAAATCTTGAAGAACAGGATGAGAATGATTAATCATGTCCCCTCAACCTTGAGTCGATGTGGTCAGTCACAAATAAACAATCTTGAATAGTACATACGGCATACGTTGCTGAGAAGGAGCTTATAAACCCCGTTGGCAGGAGAAGTGCAGAGTCATAGGGTCGTGTAACATTTGTTCAATGTTGAAGTAGGCGTGTCCCAGGATTAGCAAGCGTAAGAATTCCAATATTAAGATCCCAAGAAGATTCAGTGTCTGACAGGTTTAGTAGATGAATGGTTCAGAAACCGACATGTTGATAATTAACACATTGAGTGCAACTCTTGGTATCTTTGTATGGAGCTGATGAAGCCACTGTGGGGCGAAACGTTTCCTCAATAAAGATACCCAAGAGTTGCACATGTGTCCTAATTTATCAACATGTCGGTTTCTCTGAACCATTCATCAACAAACCCTGTCAGACACTGCAACTTTTCTTGGATCTTAATACTGGGAATTCTTCGCTTGCCTAATTCTTGGGCACGACCTACTTCAACATTGAACAAATGTTACACGACCTATGACTTCTGCATGTCTCCTGCCAACGGTTTATAAGCTCCTTCTCAGCACGTATGCCGTATTCTATTCAAGATTGATGGACTGACCACATCGACTCAAGGTTGAGGGACTGATTACCTCATTCTCATCCTGTTCTTCAAGATTCTCCTTTGTATGGACTGATGAAGCCACTGTGTGGCGAAACGTTTCCTCAATAAAGATACCCAAGAGTTGCACATGTGTCTAATTTATCAACATGTCGGTTCTCTGAACCATTCATCTACAAAAAAAATACTACTACTACCACTACCACTAGTGAACATCGAAATGGTACTTCACTAGTGTTGCAAAATCACCTCTCTGAGCCTTTATATACCCTAGTGTCCATTTATTTTGTAATGGTCTTGAATAAACTCCTGTAGAGCGAAACGTTGCCGAACAATTAAAATGTTCACATTTAGTTTTGCACTTGTGTCCTTTAACGTTACATATTGTCGGAATCTACCAACATTATGACAAACTAGAAAAAGTCATTAAAAGAAGCAATTGAAAATGAGAATATACTCCAAACCGTGTACAAGATTGTCAACAAGAGGCCTAACCCTGGCAAGCCTATTAGGTGGCTTTGCAGAACTTAACTCTGCAACACTACTGTATACCTAGCCACCTACATTCCACAACCAATATATACGTTTTTTTCAACATCTAAAATATGTAAAAAAAAACGTAGATCTTTTTGTTTTAACATTTGGAAAACGTAAAAAACTTTCATCTACTTTTTTTGTTGTTATATTTGAAAATATGTAAAAAAAAAAGTAGATCTACTTTTGTAGCTACGAATTAGAACGATCTGTTTGGAGCGTTTAAGGTTAATGTGCAGTGCCAGTGTGGCACCCACATCTTGTTCAAAACACTAAATGCAATGAACACAGATTTGACAAGAGCTTTGCACAGCTAGGCTACCTTTAAAATATACTAGATTATGTGCTCTCATAACCCATCTAGCCAAAACCCTCTTCACTAACTTCCATGTGTTCATATTGTAGAGAAATTACAGAATGCAAGACCTGTTCATCTTGCTGGAGGCATGAAGAGGGCAAGGCAGAGGGTCAGTAATCAAAGAGGCAAGCAGTGAATTGCTGAAGGAAACAAACACTGAGGGAGGCAGGAAGGAACATTACCTAGTACAAGCCCATGGTTCCCTTCTTTTCTCCCAAAGAACATGCAACTCTTCCATCAGGCAAGACCTTCCCATTTGGGTTACATGCTACCCACCCCTCCTCACCTACCAACCACTTACATGTATATTAAAAAATCTACAGTTCTTTACTAATAAAAATCAAGATCTAACATGCGAAATGAACATTCAAGAAGTATGAGTGCATCAGAAAAATGTAAAATTTATATTAAGAAAAATATCGTTTACTCCTTACAGTGGGTTCAGTAAGCCCCATCAGCCAAGAATGATTATGCCATTAAGAAAAAATATTCATAATCGGAAAAAAAAAATTCACTAACAGTACATACATAACCAAATTTAAAAAAAAAATTATACAAAAGTGATAACTTGCCTTGCACGAGTAATAGGGTTTTTATGCATCCTGGTGGGCAACTCGCCACACCAAGTGCAGGTAGCATCACACACAGCTGCAATCATACATTGCATTAAATTTAATCCAAATAAATGATTAATTCAAACAAGGAGAATGGGGTGCAGCTTACTAAACACACCAAAGTCACACAGCACCTGAGAGTAACCTTCCCAGGTTTGACAAAGGTGAGTATAGATTCAATTCCAAAAATCAATGTTCAGTCACTAGTATAAAGGCAACTCTTTCCTTTTCCAATTCCCTTTTACAAGGAGCAAACAAAGTTACCATATAAACGAGGAAAGTTGTTAGATTTACAAAATGCTGTCCTATAAATATTGACCTTGACAAATAAATACCACAAAAAAAGATGGAGCCAGGAACTGTGACTTTACCACTGCAACACACGGAAGTACACAACCACACAGGCAAGTACACAACCACACAGGCAAGTACACAACCACACAGGCAAGTACACAACCACACAGGCAAGTACAACAACCACACAGGCAAGTACACAACCACACAGGCAAGTACACAACCACACAGGCAAGTACACAACCACACAGGCAAGTACACAACCACACAGGCAAGTACACAACCACACAGGCAAGTACACAACCACACAGGCAAGTACACAACCACACAGGCAAGTACACAACCACACAGGCAAGTACACAACCACACAGGCAAGTACACAACCACACAGGCAAGTACACAACCACACAGGCAAGTACACAACCACACTTCAGAAATATAAACCAAGCTCAACAAAATTTATATAGACTACTGAACAATTACAACCCATATTGCTTGCCATTAATAAAAAGTTAATCCCACAGTTATACAGTTCACCAGTATCATTAAGGTAAGCTTTCCTCCAGATAATGTCTGCTGCTATCCATAATTAAAGTTACTTTTATCTATTTAACCCTTTCAGGGTCCAAGGCCAAAATCTGAAGTCATGCACCAGTGTCCAAGAAATTTTGAAAAAAAAAAAATTATTTTTTCTTACAGAATTAAAGAGCATATTTTTGTGAAGGTAATAAAACAAAAAAAATTAGAATCTGATCAGTACTTACCGAGATACAGTGCCAAGAAGTTTGTAGAAAATGATGTGGTGGCGGCAAACATCGACGAATTCCACATACGCGTATTATATTATTTTGTTGTTTTAGTTGTTTTTTCTTTTCTTTTCCAATTTTTTTCTATTCCTACTAACATTTGGGGCCTGAGAGACCAATACTGTATATAATTGATATATATATACTCACTGTATTGAACACAATAACCGCACTAAAGTTATTATCATATTATTGTTTACCACTGTTGTTTATTACAATAAACATGCACAAATCTTGTATAATACTAATGTTCTATCATATATTTACATATTTACAATCACTGGACATGTTTTTAGAACTGCTGGAGCTTGTGGAACTCCTTGAAACAAGGCACCATGCACAGAGGCACCTTACATTGCCGTCGTTTTGTTTGTGCACAGACAATGCATCTCTTCTGAGCAAATTTCTTTTGAGTTGAAGGAAGCTGTATTATGAAATGATCACCTTCTCTCCTCAAACGCTTGGGTATATTGTGATGAATTCGAGGACCATGTTGTATTGCAGGTGTTGTTACCTGGTACTTCATTATGAGTTGTCTGACAACAGACAAACAAAATTCACCATACGGTGGTCTGTTACCAGTCTTTATTTGGTACATATTATATGCATTCAGCATTGAAATGTCCATGAGATGGAAGAAAAGTTTCATGTACCACTTGTAACTCTTACGAACACAGTCAACAAAACCAATCTGCATGTCACACTTGTCAACCAAGCGCATGTTTTGTGTATAATCAATCACTGTCACTGGTTTTCGAATACGTTCATTAGTCACTCGATCAACTTTGCCACTGTCTTGCATTTCATTACGGTGAATGGTTGTCAACAATGTGACATCTCGTTTGTCATGCCACCGTAATGCCCATGATGTCATTGGCAGTAAACACCTGCACGTCATCACCACGAACACCTGCGTTGAGCCTGGGCATATGTTTACGATTAGAACGCACTGTGCCACACACATCTGTCTTGTTCACGTCGCATGAAATCACTGAGTAATGGGCTGTGTACCAGTTATACGGTATATAATGTATGGCCCTTACCAAGATATGGTGCCATCATGTTTCTCACTACGTCACCTGATATACCCAATAACATCTTGTATCTTTCAATGTTTTACTACCCGTGTATACAACAATATCCAACACCAGGCCACTGTCACAATACACAGAGTACAAACAATTTTATACCAAAGCGGTTCCTCTTGCTCGGTATATACTGCTTGAATGACAGTCTACCTTTGAACAAAATCAAAGACTCGTCAATTACAAGATTCTTGAATGGATAAAAGTATATCCTGAACTTTTGTTTGAGATACATGAAAACATTTCTAATCTTGTATAACCTTCACTTCTGTCAGGCCTGGTTTTGTCAGAGAAGTGCAACATACGTAACAGTAAGATAAACCTGTTCACTGGTATTATTTCACTGAAGGATGGGGTACAAATTAGCCGATCTGTGGACCAGTATGCTTTTATATTATGCTTATAGACGTGAGGCATAAGCATTATTGTTGCAAAAAGCAAATACATTTCTGCAACAGTCATCTCTTTCCACCTGTGTAGTCTTGACTGTGGTGATAAGATCGTATTTGCCATGGTGTACTGAAAATACTTATTACTTTCCCTGATAATAATTTCCATCAATGGCTGTCCAAAGAATAATTCAAAGAATTCCAGTTCATTGGCCGTGGTTCCAAGGGACAGGTAGGTAGAATTCCACTTTGAAGTCATCAAAGTGGTGAGGGCTGGGAACAAAATTGGGATTTTGCTGCCAATCCCAGATACGGTTTGCTGGTGGATACTGGACATCATAGGCTGGTTGTACGGGTGGTTGTGGCGGGCTGGTGGGTGACGCTCCGCTTTGTCCTTGAACTGACGAGTCAGCAGCGTGGGTTCCCGCGTGGCACAGCGAGTCACGCATGGCGGTGCCACTACCACCACCAGCCCCACTAACACCATCCACTGATGTCTGTGGCCCATCCATGCCAAGTGTAGCCACATCATCCTCACTATCACTACCTAAAACGGGTGTAGGGCCACGGATGTACTCCGGATGTACTCCGGGATGTACTTCGTCCCCTGGACACAGCATAGGGTACACTAACCCGAGCGCATGCGGCGGCGAACATACCGACGCTTCACTGGTGAATATGTTCCTCACTATCACTACTCGAATGATCGTCGAGCGCAATAAAATCACAATCCACGTCAGAATCATCGTCATTACTGAAGTCAGAGGCCAGGCCACGGGAAAATATTAGTTTTCTCTTACGTTTAGGAACACCCGACCGTGAGTCACGAGTGCCCACACCAGAGGTAGAAGGTCGAGGATCGTCGGGGTTTTCTGCACTATTATCGATATCCTGGTCATTATTTTCGGTCACTAACTTATCAAAGCCGTAGAATTCGTCTTCATTTCCACTTCCATCAGTGTCAGAACTATCAGACAGAAGAGGAGAGTCCCAATTTTCCGGGGAGTGAGAGCTGACTTGCGACGAGGCATGGTGAACAAGGGTGACTGAGCCGCGTTCCCAATGCTATGCAGGCGCCTAGATTTTTTGTTTACGGCGCACACCCACGGCGCAGACCCATTCTCTCATATGTAGGCCTATGAGCGCTTTCGCGCTAAATTTGACGGCGCTAGAATTTTGGCGTAGATCTACGGTTTGGACACTCACCGACCAGCCGTAGATCTACGGGACGGACCCTGAAAGGGTTAAAAACTGCAGTGATTATTATGTATTTATTTATTTAGTTTTTTTTAGTAATTTGAGCATACATACAGAGGTACAAAAAAATACAGGTAAGAGCAGCATGCCAAAGCCACTTATATGCATAGCATTACGGGCTGGCTTAAAATTAACTTAAGATTAACTAAGCAATGATGAAATCAGTGATAAGACATTATTGTAAACAGATAACTATAAAGCACAAGTGAGTATTACAAAGACAGGTCATATGGTTGCTTTCATTGTTGTACATTCAGTCGAATGGAGTATTCTGTTAGGTAGTGTATTTAAAAAATAATAAAGTTAGATTGGGTTTTAGGTTTAACATTTATGTGATATAATTGTGAGAAACATTTAAGATATACAATTTATAAGGTTTAGTTATTCAGTATTTATTTGGTTTTGGGTGAGTAAGTGATCTTTGAGAAGAGACTTGAATTTATAAACAGGTAGTGTTTCTTTTATATTTACAGGTAATGAATTCCAGATTTTAGGGCCTTTTATGTGCATTGAGTTTTTGCATAGCGTGAGATGGACACAAGGAACATCAGAGAGTGATCTGTGCCTTGTGTTATAGTCATGTGTTCTGTTGAGGTTGGCAAGGAGATGTTTGAGGGGAGGGTTAATATCAGAGTTAAGTGTTCTATGTATGTAATAGGTGCAATAATAAGTATGGGTGTTTTGTATGGTGAGTAGGTTGAGTGTTTTGAATATTGGTGGAGTGTGCTGCCTGTAGTGAGAATTTGTTATCATTCTAACTGCAGCCTTTTGTTGGGTAATTAGTGGTCTGAGATGGTTAGTTGTTGTTGAGCCCCATGCACAAATTCCATAGGTGAGATAGGGGTAAATAAGAGAGTGATATAGGGCCAGGAGGGCTGACTGTGGAACATAGTACCGTATCTTCGATAGTATGCCTACAGTCTTGGAAATTTTCTTAGAAATTTGTTGTATATGTGTATGAAATTTGAGTCTATTATCAAGGTGGATTCCTAAGAATTTTCCCTCTGTTAGCTTTGTGATAGGTGATCTGTTTATCATTATGTTAAGAGGGACATCTGTAGCTCTGTTACCAAACTGAATGAAGTAGGTTTTGTCAATGTTTAGTGTAAGTTTGTTAGTCCTCATCCAGGTAGATATTTTCTGTAATTCGGTATTTACAGTATTGGCTAGCGTGACTGGGCTCGGGTGAGAAGACGTATGTAGTGTCATCTGCAATAGTGTGGGTTTGAGTAATTGCGAAGCATTTGGTTGGTCATTTATGTATAGGAGAAAGAGGGCCAAGGACACTTCCCTGTGGGACACCAACTGTAATTGGTTGTGCGGAAGAGCTTGCCCCATTTGCGTACACATATTGGCTTCTGTTGCTGAGGTATGACTTGAGGTAGTTGAGGGAGTGCCCTCTTGTACCATAATTTGACAATTTTATGTGGAGCAAGTCATGGTCAACTGTATCAAAAGCTTTACGTAAGTCAATGAAGATCCCCAGTGGGACTTCTTTTTTCTCTATTGCAGTGTATATATGTTCTAGCATGTGTATAATAGCATCATTAGTATTTTTATTAGGCCTGAATCCAAATTGGCAGGGGTTGAGTATGTTTTGGGAGATGAGGTAGGAGTAATTCGTTTATGAATTAATTTTTCGAAGATTTTTGAGAAAGGGTGTAAATTGGATATTGGCCTATAGTTATTCAACTCTGTTTGGTCTCCTCCTTTATGGATTGGGGTAATCCTTGCTATTTTGAGAACTGTAGGGAAGGTGGAGGATTCAATGGATTTGTTAAAGAGTGTTGCAATGATTACCTGGAGTTTACCTGGAGAGAGTTCCGGGGGTCAACGCCCCCGCAGCCCGGTCTGTGACCAGGCCTCCTGGTGGATCAGAGCCTGATCAACCAGGCTGTTGCTGCTGGCTGCACACAAACCAACGTACGAGCCACAGCCCGGCTGATCAGGAACTGACTTTAGGTGCTTGTCCAGTGCCAGCTTGAAGACTGCCAGGGGTCTGTTGGTAATCCCCCTAATGTGTGCTGGGAGGCAGTTGAACAGTCTCGGGCCCCTGACACTTATTGTATGGTCTCTTAACGTGCTAGTGACACCCCTGCTTTTCATTGGGGGATGGTGCATCGTCTGCCAAGTCTTTTGCTTTCGTAGTGAGTGATTTTCGTGTGCAAGTTCGGTACTAGTCCCTCTAGGATTTTCCAGGTGTATACAATCATGTATCTCTCCCTCCTGCGTTCCAGGGAATACAGGTTTAGGAACCTCAAGCGCTCCCAGTAATTGAGGTGTTTTATCTCCGTTATGCGCGCCGTGAAAGTTCTCTGTACATTCTCTAGGTCGGCAATTTCACCTGCCTTGAAAGGTGCTGTTAGTGTGCAGCAATACTCCAGCCTAGATAGAACAAGTGACCTGAAGAGTGTCATCATGGGCTTGGCCTCCCTAGTTTTGAAGGTTCTCATTATCCATCCTGTCATTTTTCTAGCAGATGCGATTGATACAATGTTTTGGTCCTTGAAGGTGAGATCCTCCGACATGATCACTCCCAGGTCTTTGACGTTGGTGTTTCGCTCTATTTTGTGGCCAGAATTTGTTTTGTACTCTGATGAATATTTAATTTCCTCATGTTTACCATATCTGAGTAATTGAAATTTCTTATCGTTGAACTTCATATTGTTTTCTGCAGCCCACTGAAAGATTTGGTTGATGTCCACCTGGAGCCTTGCAGTGTCTGCAATGGAAGACACTGTCATGCAGATTTGGGTGTCATCTGCAAAGGAAGACACGGAGCTGTGGCTGACATCCTTGTCTATGTCAGATATGAGGATGAGGAACAAGATGGGAGCGAGTACTGTGCCTTGTGGAACAGAGCTTTTCACCGTAGCTGCCTCGGACTTTACACTGTTGACGACTACTGTGTTCTGTTAGTGAGGAAATTATAGATCCATCGACCGACTTTTCCTGTTATTCCTTTAGCACGCATTTTGTGCGCTATTACGCCATGGTCACACTTGTCGAAGGCTTTTGCAAAGTCTGTATATATTACATCTGCATTCTTTTTGTCTTCTAGTGCATTTAGGACCTTGTCGTAGTGATCCAATAGTTGAGACAGACAGGAGCGATTGGTGATAGCACTTGTGACACTTTTTTGTATATAAAGGATGGTAAGGTATTTAAATCTCCTGCCTTGTTTTTTAGTGCGTTGATAATAAGGGGGACTTCGTATGGGTTAGTCGGAGCTAGGAACAGTGTGTTCGGGTAGTTGCCAGTGAGGTAGTCATTTGGTGGGGTATCTGAGCTTGGGATTTTATATACTGACTAGTTCACATCAAACTTTCCATACCTCTGATATGGTCATCAAGATCAATTACTTAAGCTCAATTTACTCTATACAGTACAGAAATAAGAGTTTACTTGATCAAGAAAATATACAAAGGATAAAGTACTGCTGTAATTCTAAAACAGTCAATTGGATTTATTTGATTTATGAAGCCCAACTATTCATTCAAGTATTCAGAATAAAAATTAACTACTTTATTAACTTCAATACTAATTTTTCTACAAAGGAAATTGAGGCATACTAAATACTAATTACTCTCAACCCACAAATTAGTGTATATCCATAATTCCTTCCAAGTCAGTGGATGCAAGTACATAGCTAAGACTTAACCAAAATTCATGCTTACCAGCAGCATTTTTGTGCAATTTTGCAGCTTTTTCAATCGAGTATGGATCAGTGGGATTTGTCAGAAGGCTAACTAGAGGGCCAGCAGATTTGGAGTCTCCACTCAAAATGTTCGATCCATCAATCAAATTAGGAAAGAGTTGAGTAGTTAACCATGCATTTTGCAGCTGAGCTAAGCTATTCAAATCTACACCTGTTCAAAAGGAAAAATGTCTGTATCATTTTATAAAAAATACCAACAAATCTTAGCATGTGCAGATTAAAGTAACTCAGAAAAGGATTCAGGGAAATCAGTTAGCCAGACTAGTCAAATGTGTAAAGGGCAGTGCCTGCACTCTGAGGGTAAATGAAGTGATAACACTTCTGACAAGACAATGACTGCTCATGAGTCTTGTTTGGGTCACCCTGCATTCACAGGAAACCCACTGAAAAAAGTACACATGTATATCTAGTTTCCATTCCAGGGAGTACATTGCAAGTACTCCGATTCTTTCCCAATAGATAATTCTGTAGATTGTAAACCACCTTCTCACATTTTCAACCTCTGATTGCTTTTCTGCCTTGAAAGACAGTACTAAACTTAAACCACAATTGATTGGATAGGCCTATCATGATCCACCCATCAATTTTATGGCTTAAGCTTTGAGTTAAACATTTTAATATTCCAAACACATACAATGTCACTAACCTTGAGATAACTGTGCATGGGACCCAATGGAGCTATTTGCAGTGTTGCTATTTATAGCACCCATGTTTCCCAACTGCTGCTGTTGCAAGGCAAAAAGTGCATTTGGTAATGGTTGCTGATTTATATTCAGAGGGTTACTAGTAATGCCAGCACCACGTGTCAAGCCATCAACAGAACGGAGATTCCCCTGACTAGATGTGCTGCTGTTGCCGCCGCCGCCGCCGCCGCCAAGGCTCAATGAACTCTGGAAATATTTTTAAATCAGGTTAACATTTTCATCTTTAAAACATTTAGCCTTTACCCCACTGTTTAAAATTTTGAAGTGGAAACACTGGTAGCAGAAAATCCTTTTAACATATCATTTATTCCTGTAAATTCAATCAAGTCCAGCCCTGGTGGAAAATACAGTGGACCCTCGACTAACGGCAGCATTAAGTAACGGCAAATTCGTTTAACGGCGCTTTTTGGCATAAAAAAAATGTCTACCAACAGCAAAAAACTCTACCAACAACGTTCGTCTGGAACATATCCATGTGCCGGGAGTGCAGCCTGAGCGGACCCAGCCACTCCAAGACTCGGTGTGCCATTTTTTACAAGCTGTTGCGGTCAGTTTCCACATGTGCCTCTCACATATTTTGGATTATTCCACTGTTTTTAGTGCTTGTAACTGCTAAATAAGCCACCATGGGCCCCAAGAAAGCTTCTAGTGCCAAGCCTGTGTTAAAAAGGGTGAGAATTACGATGGAAATGAAGATCATTGAAAAATACAAGTGGAGTCCGTATGGCAGAGTTGGAAAGGCAATACAAATCACATTCAACCATCAGTACTATCTTGGCGAACAGACAGGCAATCAAGGAACCTGTTGTGAAAGGTTCAAGCATTTTCAAAACGGAGACCACAAATAATTGAAGAGGTAGACGCACTTATTGGTATGGATAAACGAAAAAATTATCAGGTGATAATTTCTCGGTCTAATTTGTGAAAAGGCAAGGAAGTTGCATGATCTCATTAAGAAAATGCCTCAAAAATAGTGCTACTGTGATGAATTTAAGACCAGCAAAGGCTGGTTTGAGAGATTTAAGATTTGTAGTGGCATACACAGTGTGGTAAGGCATGGCGAGGCAGCCAGTTCAGACAAAAATGCGGCTGAAAAATACGTGAAAGACTAAGGAATACAGAGCCTGAAAACTTAAAACCTGAACAAGTGTTTAATTGTGACAAAACAGGCCTGTTTTGGAAGAAAATGTCAAACAGAACCTACATTACTCAGGAGGAAAAGGCACTCCCAGGACATAAGCCTATGAAAGACAGGCTGACAATGTTGTGTAGTAATGCTAGTGGTGATTGCAAAGAAGCTTTTATTGGTGTATCACTGATACTACCAGTGTTTTCAAGAAAAATAATATCAAGGGTAATTTGTGTGTGCTGTGGAGATCAAACAGTAAGGCATGGGTCACTAGGGATTTTTTCTTGGACTGGTTTTATGGTGTGTTTGGGCCCATTGTGAAAAATTACCTCCAGGAAAAGAAATTGCCACTCAAGTGCCTCCTGGTAATGGACAATGCTCCTGCTCATCCTCACGACTTGCAAGAGAAAATCGCAGGGAAGTTTGGTTTCGTTAAGGTGAAGTTTTTGTCTCCTAATACAACTCCTCTCCTCCAGCCCATGGACAAGGAGGTCATTTCAAACTTCAAAAAACTCTACACAAGTGTTTCAAAAGTGCTTTGAAGTGACCTCAGACACTCAATTGACCCTTATAGAGTTTTGGAATGATCACTTCAATATCCTCAGTTGTGTAAACCTTATAGGTAAAGCTCGGAGGGAGCGACTAAGAGGACCTTGAACTCTGCTTGGAGAAAACTGGCCAGAATGTGTAGAACAGAGGGATTTTGAAGGGTTTGGGGCTAACCCTCAGGAGGCAATGCCAGTAGTGAAAGTTATTGTGTCATTGGGGAAGTCCTTGAGGTTGGAGGTTTGTGACGAGGATGTTGAAGAGTTGGTGCAAAACGACGAGGAAGAACTAACCACTGCAGACCTGCAAGAGCTTCAGGTGCAACAGCAACATATCACATCTCAGGAATGTTCTTCACGGCAGGATGAAGAGAGACTGAGGAAGATGACTTCATCAAGGATTAGGGAAATGTGTTCAATATTTACAAAGGTGCAAGTATTTATCGATGAATTTTATCCTGACAAGTTGCAAGCTGCATTGGCAACATGTGCAATGACACGTGTCCCATTTTAGGGAAATCCTAAGGGCACGTGAGAAACAGAGCTTTCTGGACAGAGATTTTGTGCGGCAGGGGTCCAGTGACTCAAGCTGGTCCTAGTGGCATTAGGAAACCAAGAAGGGAGGTAACCCCACCGAAGGACTTGGTACCTGAAGTCTTTATGGAAGGGGATTCTCCTTCCAAGCAATAGACAATCCTGAATCTCCCCTGCTGCTGGCACATCACTCAACAACAACTCTACAATAAAGGTAAATGGCATTTAATTATTGTTTATTTTTCATGTCCCATTCATTTTGGTGTAAGGAAATTATTTCATGTAAAAAAAATTTCAGACTTTGGGGTGTCAGGAACTGATTACTTCTATTTCCATTATTTCTTAGGGGGGAAAAAATAAATTTCCCACCGGGGGGCAAATTCAACTAAAAAAGTTTCTCTGCAACAGTTTTAACTGTTTACCTGGGGGTTTACCTGGAGAGACTTTTGGGATAAACCCCCCCCCAGGGGCCCGGTCTGTGACCAGGCCTGGGGGGGGGGGGGGGGTGGATCAGCCTGATTAACCGGCTTTTTAATGCGGGCTGCACGCAGCCCCAACGAAACGAGCCACACCCGGCTGGTCGGGTACCCTTTAGGTGCTTGCCGTGCCACCCCTAAAGGGACGGGCCGGGGGGTTACTGGTAACCCCCCCTTATTTTAGGGCGGGGAGGCAGTTGAACAGTCTTGGGCCTTTGACATTTTAATTTTTAATTGTTTTCAACTGCTGTGCACCCCTGTTTTTCTTGGGGGGGATGTTGCACCATCTGCCGAGTCTTTTGTTTTCTTTTGCGAAAATTTTCGTGTCAATTTTCGGTACAAATCCCTCTAGGATTTTCCAGGTGTTAAAACATCAACTCTCCCGCCGGTTCCGGGGGAGTACAGGTTCAGGAACTTCAATCCCCCCAAAGTAATTAGGTATTTTATCTCCGTTATGCTGCCTTAAATTTCTCGTACTTTTTCTAGGTCTAAATTTTCCACCTGCCTTGAAAGGTGCTTTTAAATTTGTGCACCCATATTCAGCCTAGGGGAAACAAGCAACCTGAAGAGTGTCAATGGTTTTGGGCATTACTAGTTTTGAAGGTTTCTCATTACCCAAAACCTGAAATTTTTCTAGCAGATGCAATTGACAATTATGGCCCTTTTAAGGGGCGAGACCCCTCCAACATGATCACTCCCAGGTTTTTTGCCCGTTGGTGTTTTGCTCTATTTTGGGGAAAGGAAAAATTTGTTTGTAGTCTGATGAAGTTTAAATTTTCCTATTTTTAAATTATATGGGGAGAAATTTTAAAATTTCTCATTGTTGAGCTTCATTTTTTGTTCTGCACCCACTGAAAGTTTTGGGTTTGATGTCAGCCGGGGCCCTTTGCAGTGTCTGAAACGTAAGCACTGTCATGCAGATTTGGAAAGTCATCTGAAAAGGGAAAGAAAAGGGTGCTGTGGTAACACCCTTGTCTATGTCAGATACGGGGTTTAGAAAAAAGATGGGAGCGAGAAATGGGGCCTTGTGGAACAGGTTTTTAAACCGTACGCCTCAGACTTTATCTTAACTACTCCCTATGTTCTTTTTTGGGGAAAATTTTAAAGACCCATCTCCCCAACTTTTAGTGTTATTCCTTTACACGCTTTTTGTGCCTTTTAGCCTGGTAAACATTTGTCAAAGGCTTTTGAAAAAGTCTTAAATATTAATCTACATTTTTTGTTTTTAGGGGGAAACTAGGACCTTGTAAATAGTGATCAGTACCCTTGAACAGGAGCGATTTCCCCTCAAAACCCCCACTTTTGCCGGGGTTGTGCAAGAGGGGTTATCTAAAATGGGGGGTGATTTTTTGTTTCTTGGGCCCCTTTCAAAGATTTTTATATGGGATTTAATGCTATCAGCCCCCCCCCTTTTTAGTTCTTTGCTATTGCATTACTCCCCGCTTTGTGGGGGGGTCTATGTCTTTTTTTTTTTAGTAACTGGGGGACGACCCCCCATGTCCATGCTCCCCTCCATAGGAGGGAAAAAACCCCGTGATGGGGCCTTTTTCAGCCTTAATGAACCTGAGTTCCACAAGTTGGCCTGGGGCAGAGGGGCATGGCATGTAAATTTATCCCCTTTCAAAGTCATTTGGTTTTCGGGTTAAATCAGATAGGCTTGTTTTAAAACCAAATTCTGTGGACTAAAAAAAACCATTTTGATCTTCGACTCGAAGTCGGGTTAGGGGGCTTGCAAAAAACCGAGTCATTTTGGGGTGACTTAAGTACTCTTTCTTTTTCCTTGTTGTCATCTGTGTGGGACCCATCAGGGGCCCAATACGGGTTTTTTTGTTCTCAATTTTTTTTGATTTCCCATAAGAAAAAAAAATATTTTTTTTTTTGGGGGGGGTTTTCCTTTCGTTTTCCCATTCATGGCTTCTAGTTCTTCCCGCGTTTTCCTGACCCCATAAGTTTTCCTTTAGCTTAAAGTTTTTTTTTTGGGCTTTTTTTTCTCTGCCAGGACTCTCCGCATTTCGGGATACATTGGCCTTTTTTTAGCGCTTTTAAATTTTTTTCCTTCCCCTGAAAAGGGGAGCGCCTGCCTTTCTTTTTTTTAAAACTACTCCTCCTTTTTTTTAAAGGAAATTTAAGCCTTAAGCATACATCGAGGGGCCACTGAGTTAACTTTTCTGGGGCATAATTGGGGTCTGTGTTGCTTAGTATTCTTCCCACCCTTAAAACTTTTAGGACTTATTTTTACTTTGTCCCCCTTTCCCATGTTTTTTGTTTTTGAAGCTAAATTTTGGTGAAAGCTCCCTCGTGACTAATCTTTTTTGTCTTGGGGGCTTCACACATATGTGTGAACCTTGTTTTAGGGTTGTAAATCCGTGTATATTTTTGATTTAGTGACATTTCGTATCAGATAAAACATTGTTGGGTGAAGATGAGGTCTAGTGAAATTCTCCAGTTTTTTTAGGCTCTTTTTTGGGCGGAAAAAGGGTTGAATTTTGTGCAGAGATTTAA